AGATGTGATACACACACACACACACACACACACACACACACACAATGGAATATTATACAGCCATCAAAAGGAATGAAATCTTGCCATTTGCAACGACATGGATGGAACTGGAGGTTATGCTGAGCGAAATAAATCAATCAGAGAAAGACATGTATCATATGATCTCACTGATATGAGGAATTCTTAATCTCAGAAAACAAACTGAGGGTTGCTGGAGTGGTGGGGGTTGGGAGGGATGGGGTGGCTGGATGATGGACATTGGGGAGGGTATGTGCTATGGTGAGTGCTGTGAATTGTGTAAGACTGTTGAATCACAGACCTGTAACTCTGAAACAAATAATACATTATATGTTAAAAAAAAGAAGAAGAGAGTAGGAAGGGAAAAATGAAGAGGGGGAAATCGGAGGGGGAGATGAACCATGAGAGACTATGGACTCTGAAAAACAAACTGAGGGTTCTAGAGGGGAGGGGGGTGAGGGGATGGGTTAGCCTGGTGATGGGTATTAAAGAGGGCACGTTCTGCATGGAGCACTGGGTGTTATATGCAAACAAAGAATCATGGAACACTACATCAAAAACCAATGATGTAATGTATGGTGATTAACATAATATAACATAACGTAATGTAACGTAAGATAACATAACATAACATAAAATATATTAAAAAAAAGAGAGAGATGGGTACTCAATGAAAAAAAAAAAAAAAAGAAACCAGAAAGTTCAGGACAGTTCAGCCCAATAGATCACAATCACTGAGACTTCAGACATCCAAATTAAAGGGAAATTACCTGTCATTTGATGTCATGCCAACTTTGGTGAGGTGGGAAAGAAACTACCAATTCCAAAGGACAGCTGGGTCTTTCTTGCCTCCAGACTGTATCTCACTTCCTGACACCCATAACCATTTCAGGGAGCCTTTGGAGGAGCCCAGTCATCACTAGAAATGGTTTAGTGGAAGGAAGAGGGGGCTCTGGAAGTTAAGCCAGGTCACAAAAAGGAGGATTAAATGGGACAAATGCATGATAACATGTTTCTCTTACTATTCCCAAACCGAAAGCAGTAATGTACTTGCTCTTATAGGGTTTTTTTCTCATTTTTTTTCTACTTTTAATTTGGCCAAATAAATTATTTTAATGTTTTCAAAAAATTTAAAAATAAATAAATAAATAAAAATTGAGTGCTAGGAGATGTTATACAGGTCATAAATACCAGTACCACAGCATTTTAACGCATGGGTGAGATTATCACGAGCTCTAACTCGGAGAAAATTTGGGAGAGATGGGCCACCAAGGAAATCTATCAATTGGTAAGGAGGAAGGAAGATGGGCTTTCATTCTGAAAGTGATAACAGTAGAATGTTTGACAGGTGTGTAAAGGATGATGCGGCAGCCAGCGGAGATGGAAGATTCACAATGGGTATGCATAGAGGGAGAGAGATGGATAGATGGTGCTGATTGATGAAGAGCCTTGAATGCTACAGAGGAAAAAAAAATGCAAAATTTGATAGCTGGAACTACAACCTCCTGTTTTAAAAAATAAGAGACAAAGGCCTCAACGGGTTGATTTCCCCCTCCACTGCCATTGGTCTAGAATGCAGATCGCCTTACTCTCTTTCTGCTATATCCTGTTGCCTTTCAAGATCTCTCTTGTCAGTAGAAAGTCACTGTAGGCTTAAATGCTAGAACGTGTTTTATTTATTTTATTTATTTTTTATTTATTTATCAGAGAGAGAGCACACAAGCAAGGGGAGGGGCAGAGGGAGAAGCAAGGAGCCCGATGCAGGACTCCATCCCAGGACCCTGGGTTCATGACCTGAGCCGAAGGCAGACGCTTAACCAACTGAGCCACCCAGGCGCCCCTAGAAAGTGTTTTAGAAAGTGTAGCAAAGTGAGTGATAAGCTGTGAAGAGGGAGAACCAAAAAAGAGGCTTTCGTTTTCAAGAAGGAAGTCATTACTGAAGGAAAAGAGAGAGAGAGCTTGTTGCTTAGGAGGTACTCCCAGTGCCCACTACATTATTGTTATAGTTCCTGCACTGCAAAAGACAAAAGTATAAAAGTATTTATCAGGATAGGGATCTTTCTAGGAAGTGTTGTGAATGTTTCACTTAGGTTATGGTCTGTGTCCTCTGGGCTGTCCCACCTGACTTGAAAGACAGCTGGCTTCCATTTCTTGATTACTTCATATTCAGAAGTTAAGCAAATTAGATAATATGGATTTACACAAAGATAAACTACGAATTTTCTTAGGAGCAACCTCTCCGATACATTTCATAGAGGATTCCCTTAAATAGCAGTCTTTGCACTGTAGGGAATATGCATCTCCATATCATCGCTACTTTCCAGGAAAATGAAAGGTGCTGAAAGATGCCTTTTTCCACATTTTGGAGAGTGCGTTTTATGAATGAGTTTAAATACTATAAATTTAATGCTTATGTTTGTTACTTGATACAAAATATTTTTGAGGAAATACTCCATTTAATCAGGTACTTAAAGAAGAAAATAAGGGCTCTTCCTTAGTAATAGCTTTTCTCCTGAGAAATGGAAATTTGACAACTTGATGAAGTTTTTAGGCAAAATTTCAAATGACCTGCTCTTGGACCTGAATAGGCATTTTTCTAAAGAAGACATACAGATGGCCAATAGACACATGAGAAGATGCTCAACATCACTCATCATCAGGGAAACGCAAATCAAAACCACAATGAGATATCACCTCACACCCATCAAAATGGCTAGAATCAGAAGACAAGAAATGTTAAGTGTTGGCGAGGATGTAGAGAAAAAGGAACTCTCCTACACTGCTAGTGCAGATGTAAATTGGTATAACCACTATGGAAAAGAGTATGGAGGTTCCTCAAAAAAATTAACAGAAATACCGTATGATTCATTAATTTGACTACTGGGTATTTGCCCAAAGAAAACATACAAACAAAAAACACTAATTCAAAAAGATACATACACCACTATGTTTAGTGCAACATTATTTATAATAGCCAAGATACAGAAGAAACCTAAGTGTCCATCATAGATGAAAGAATAAAGAAGATAAATATACACACACACACACAAATACTACTCAGTCATAAAAAAGAATGAGATTTTGCCATTTGCGACAATATAGATGGACCTAGAGAGGATGCAAGGTACAGCGTAGGGAGTACAGTCAGTGATATTGTAATAAATATTGAATGGTGACAGGTGGTAGCTACACTTGTGGTGAGCACAGCGTAACATGTAGACTTGTGGACTCACTATGTTGCACACCCGAAATTAATGTAATACTGTGTGTCAACCACACTTCAATAAAAAAAAGAGTAGAGGAGGAAAAAATGACCTGCTTTTATATCAGTAAAAATAAAGTACTTTTGGAGCACTAAGATTAAAGATACTTTAATATTTTTTAAAAGCTTAAAGATACTCTATCATGTTAGTGTTTACACAGTAGTGTATCAACTTGTACTCAACATTGTCTTCTTGCTTTATTGAGGCAAATATATTTCATATATAGTGCCAAGAATGTCTGAGGTGCGTCCTGCATCTCTTCCTGGTTCTGAGACTTTTCTTGGTGGACAAAACCATCTAGATTTTAGGGCCATCATTTTTCCAGAAAGATTTTGCTGATGAGAATATAATACTCTTTTTTTAAAGATTTATTTATCTATTTATTTGAGAGAGAGAGAGAGAGTAAGTGGGGGGAGGAACAGAGGGAGAGGGACAAACAGACTCCCTGCTGATCGCAGAGCGGAGCCCCTCGCAGGGCTCGATCCCACAACCTTGAGATCGTGACTTGAGCTAAAATTGAGTCGGATGCTTCACCAACTGAGCCACCCAGGGGCCCGACTATATAATATTCTTGAATAAACAATGAACCTTCATAAATAGATTTCAGAATAGCCTTGGAAAGCCTCAAGACTCTATAGCAGGACCATCGTAATCCAGATAATGTGGGATGAAACAGAGTAGTATAGTTGGAACACTCATGAGAAGGTCTAGGAACCTACTTCTGCACCTGATATGTGTTCTCAATCATGCAAGGACTAATCATGCAAACCCCAGGTAGGCTTCAGAGTTCTCTGGGAAATAAAATGATTACTCTCTGAGCTCCATCATCCCTACTTACTTTATAGTTCTGAGAAATTCCCAGTGAACTTTACCAGGAATCCCAAAGCAGGACTCATCATGACCATTTCGCCTGCTGGGCAGAAATCCCAAGGGGAACTGGAGTTGCCATAGTGTGAGCAGGATTTACCACCCACCACAGGAAACTTGTAGAAGTTCTTAGAACACAAAATGGGTTCCAGCATCTCTTGGGGCTGCTACCCACTGTTACACACAAATTCCTGTAGGAAACCTTTCTTTCCTCTCTTGTTCTCTCACCTTGTCACCAGCAACGCAGGCTGACTGCACACCTGTTTCCTAGCAAATCTTTCCCACTGCCCACCGTTTCTGTAATCATTGTGAACCTTTCTCAGATGCAATTTCCCCCCTGAATCCCTGCATTACTGAAGCTGCTGGATGGGGACAGTGAATGTAACTGGGCAATTTGATAACACTTGTTGACACTGGCCACCTCATACTGCAGCTTTCTTGTTAGCATTCCAAGTATTGTTCCCTCCACTTGGTGTGTGTAAGGTTCACTTCCTTTTCTCTGTGTTTCCTACAAAGTGACATGTGATTAGCTGAAGAAGTAAAAAGCTACTGCCCCTTGCCTAACATTCTGTTCAATACAAATGGACACTGGGGAGGGTATGTGTTGTGGTGAGCGCTGTGTGTTGTGTAAGACTGATGAATCACAGACCTGTACCCCTGAAATAAATAATACATTATATGTTAATAATTTTTAAAAAATAATTTAAAAAAGAAAAGAAAGAAAGAAAGAAATCAACAAGTCAATTCTGTATTTTTGTTTTCTGTATCCATGGTTATGACAGCTCATCTAACGTGGGAATCCTCAGGCATTTTTTGCTGTATTTTATGGTGAAGCATATATACTGTAAAAAAAAAATCATAGACTGCCAAGTGTGTAACTTCTACCAAAAAAAGTGTATTTGACATTCTGCTTGTATAAATCCAAATGCGGAATTTTGTGCGTTTTCATTATTTACACAATTCTGGGCTTCGTGCTATGCCTTGTATTAATGCTTCCTTTTATATTTTTTTTAAGATTTTATTTATTTATTTGACAGAGAGAGACACAGCGAGAGAGGGAACACAAGCAGGGGGAGTGGGAGAGGGAGAAGCAGGCTTCCCGCCGAGCAGGGAGCCCGATGTGGGGTTTGATCCCAAGACCCTGGGACCATGACCTGAGCTGAAGGCAGACGCTTAATGACTGAGCCACTGAGGTGCCCCTTAATGTTTCCTTTTAAATCAAAATTCAAACATAGGTCATGTTTAACTCAATGCCAAGCCAAAGTGGGTGCTGCTTGAATTTTTATATGTGAAAAAAAATAATAATGAATAAGAGCTATTATCTCTGGGTCATAAAAATAGGAATTATTTTTATTTCTTTGCACTCTTCTCCATTTTTCAATTGGCCTGACATAAAAAATTTGTGTATATACTTGTATGTGTGCATGCATACATACATACTTATATATATCAGTATGTTTATCTATATCCACAGACATGTTTTTATGGGACCTCAGGATATCGTACAGTCCTGTGTCCTGCCTTCAGAAATATTATGTGCCATTATCCTTATAAGAGGTCAATCATCAGAAGCCTAGACATATTAAGTGGCTTATCGAGAATTATACAAGCAAGAAGTAATGGAGGAGGGACCAGAACCAAGATGTTTCTGGCTTGTATTGTATTTTGTATTTTTCCTGTTAAAATGTACATAACAGGTAGAAGTGTGGAACCACCCTTCCTCTAGTATTGTACCTACGTGGTACCTGCTTTATGTTAAACCTCTGGTATTCTGAAATGTAAAGTGTGAAGTACAGGTGTGTGTGTGTGTGTGTGTGTGTGTGTGTGTGTGTGGTCCTTAATCACTTTGAAAATTTTGTCCTTTTTTTAATCTAAGAGTGCTTATACAGTAATAGGCTTGTATTAGATTCTCAATAATAATGCCTTAAAATATAAGAAAACATTAACGGTGGTTGCTTCTGGGTTGTGGGTAAATGTTTTCCTTCTCATTTATATTTTCCCATGTTTTTCTTATTTTCCATAATGACTACGGCATAGTTAACCAGTAATCAAAACTGATTTCTTTAGAAGAAGGCAATTGATATTCTTGAGTTCATGTTTTATTCCTCAAATAGGGTGGAAGTTTTGTTCTACTCAACAAGGACATATATTCATGGTA